GGACCTGCAGTGAGTGCCTTGCCCGCCATCCCCGGACCCTGCAGCCTGGAGATGGAGAGGTGCGTGGTGTGAGGGAGGGTGGAGGGGCTCAGGAACCACCATGCTCTTCGGCTGTGATTGGGTGGGAGGATCTGGGTCAGGAGGGATGCTGGGGACCCCGAGGACCTCATAGAGTCTGTCTTCCCCCACCAGGCATCTGTCCCCCGCTGTAAGTGGTGTACCAATTGTCCCGAGGGTGCCTGCATCGGGCGCAACGGGTCCTGCACCTCAGAGAATGACTGTCGGATCAATCAGCGAGAGGTCTTCTGGGCAGGGAACTGCTCAGAGGCTGCGTGTGGGGCTGCCGACTGCGAGCAGTGTACCAGGGAGGGCAAGTGCATGTGGACACGGCAGTTCAAGAGGACAGGTGAGCACCGAGGCTGGGTCCCTGAAAGGAGAGTTTGGGGGCCTGGACTCCTGTCTCTGAGGGAGGAGGGGCTGGGGGGCTGGGGGCCTGGACTCTTGGTCTGAGGGAGGAGGGGCTGGAGATATGGACTCCTGATCTGAGGGAGGAGGGGCTGGGGGCCTGGACTACTGGTCTGAGGGTGGAGGGTCTGGGGGCCTGGACTCCTGGTCTGAGGGAGGAGGGGCTCCCAGCACTCCAGTTCTAATCACTATGCCCCCAACCCTAGGGGAGACCCGCCGCATCCTCTCTGTGCAGCCCACCTACGACTGGACATGCTTCAGCCACTCTCTGCTGAACGTGTCCCCGATGCCAGTGGAATCATCGCCCCCACTGCCCTGCCCCACTCCCTGTCACCTCCTGCCCAACTGTACCTCCTGTCTGGACTCCAAGGGTGCGGACGGGGGCTGGCAGCACTGTGTCTGGAGCAGCAGTCTCCAACAGGTACCGCACTCTGCCAAGGCCCGGGCTCTTTCCTCTCTGCCCTGCCCTGACTCTCTCCGCTGCCTCCTTCTCTATCCTGCTTCCTCTCCATCTCCTCGCTCTGGGTCTCACCTTCACTCCCCTTCTCTTCTCTCCTCCCAGCGTCTCTGTCTTCCCTCCTTGCCTCGTGAGCCTCCCTGTGTCTTCTTGCCACACCCTCTCAGCTCTTCCTCACGCACTCAGCTCTCCCCGCCATCCTCCCATGACTCCTAACCATCCCTCTTCCTACCAAACCCTTCTACTTCCTCCTCCATCTCTTTCTCTCTCTGCGTTTGAAACTTTTGCTTTTAAGAAACAGAAACCCACTTGAGCTCATTTTATGATAAGGAACGGGGTGTATTTGATGGGATGTCGACAGGAAATACTGCTGCTCTAGGGTTCTTGGGCCACGTGGTCTCCGATCTCAGCGGTTCCCTGCCTGTCCCCATCCCCCGGGCTCTCGGCTCGGTGATAACACCCATGGCCAATGGCAGCCCTGACCCTCAGTCTAGGTGACGCTCTAATTCTAGAGACCGCAGTCATCTCTGTTCACTGGTTCGCTGACATTCTCAAAGGGACTTCAGCTCAGCTGAGGAGTTAGGTGTCCAGCCTTGGCCCAAGGGGACAGCTAGGGAGGGGTAGGAGCACATGGTTCTAACTTAGGGTTCAGACCCGCCCCTCATCTGTGGCTGTGGGCTGGAGAGATAATTCTGGAAGGTCTGGGGAGGCACTGTGTATGCCAGTGACAGTCTGCCCCCTGACTGCTCAGTGCACACTCTCTCATAAAGCCCATGCTTTTAAAAAAATTTTTTTATTGATTTTGTAAAGGGAGGGAGAGAATGAGGGAAGGAGGGAGAGAGAAACATCAATTGGTTGCCTCTCGCACACGTCCTGATGGGATTAAACCTGCAATCTGGGTGTGTGCTCTGACCAGGGGTTGAACTCCGTTTTGGTGTATGGGATGATGTGCCAACCAACTGAGCCACCCGGCCAGGGCATAAAGCCCATTCTTAAGGTGCCTCTGCCCAGCATGCTTTACTGTCCCAGTGACAGACATTGAAAGCATTTATCCTCCCACCCTTCCCCAGCGGCAGACAAGATTCACTTCCTGCTGTCATATCTGGAAGCAGTGTCACTGGGCCAGAGTTCCGAGTCTCCAGTTCCCACCAATGTCCATGCCCATTCATATCGTCAGTTGTAAGACCCAATCGAGGTGTGACTCACCATCTCAATCCATGAGTCTACACCAGCCGTGGGCAAACTACGGCCCGCGGGCCGGATCCGGCCCGTTTGAAATGAATAAAACTAAAAAGAAAAAAGACCGTACCCTTTTATGAAATGATGTTTACTTTGAATTTATATTAGTTCACACAAACACTCCATCCATGCTTTTGTTCCGGCCCTCCGGTCCAGTTTAAGAACCCATTGTGGCCCTCGAGTCAAAAAGTTTGCCCACCCCTGGAAGGGCATGTGGGAGGGTG